AGGGCCCCTGAACACGTATATTGGCATGTACTGTGTTTTGAACAGTAGCCTACTACAGTAAAGAACTTCAATTGATCAGTTGTGGTAATACTATAGTTGCTATGGTAACACAAGTGTAATATAAACAAATTACCCAGTGCTGTATTATTTTACAATATAGGGTATTTTATACTACAAATCACTACACTTTACTGTAGTAAAACTACACTTTGTATTATTTTATCTGTTCACTATTGGTAATACTACTGTATTATGAAGCATTCATTAACAAGTCGTAAATAATACTAGCCTAAAACATAAGTATAATACAAGTATACAACAAGTATAATACTCAAAAACACTAGAATTTATTAAAGAATTTACCTTAACCTTTTAGTTTTTTTGTGTATTGTTAATAAATAGTAAAGCAAGAAAGAAACCATATCAACATTCTTGGAATAACCCTTCGCTAAGCCTCGCCCTCCTTAGTTACTGTTGCTACTACGCCTGTCAAGCTTTCATGCCTGGCACATCTATTACAGTGTGTATGCGCTGGTGTCAGACATTCCCAAGGATTTAATTAGTCATTTTTGGCAAACAGGTGAGATATCTGAGAAAGCCAGACAAAAGAGGACTGCAGTATACATTACAGGGGTATATTCACAACATAATAGCAACTGATTAGAGAATAATTTTATCAAAATTGAAGCAAGGTTAGCCTAGCCACCTCATACGCTGAACATTCAACAGCATAGTTCATGCACAGCAGGAGAGGTGAAAGTATAAAATAATCTAATAACCTAAGAAACTGATGGATTTGTGCCGAATATTAGCATCATTGACCCATAACAGTGTACAGTACCTATTACTGTCAGCATGTTTGTGTGCTCTTTATCCAGTTTTTATTCAAATTTGCAGTTAAGTGGAAGAAAAAAATTGAAATGCAAATCAAAGTATAAATAACAGAAGTGAACAAATAGATTTTTCCTACCAGCAAATATTAGTGTATGTATTTATATGCGTTACAATAGCGAGGGTTTAAACTAAGCAGTGCTCACAGGGTTCAACGCTAAGGATTTTTTCTACTGGCCCGATCGGGCCAGTGGTTCTAATTTTTACTTGCCCTGCCCAAATTTTCACTGGCCCCACCAAAAAAAAAAAAAAAGAAGTTAATCGCTATTTGAATGTGCGTGTGTGTGTGTGTATACACACACACACACACACAGTTGATTTCAGAATTATTAGTTCCCCTAAATTATTAGCACCCCTGTTTATTTTTTTCCCCAATTTCTATTTAACAGAGAACAGATTTTTTCAGCACATTTCTAAACATAATAGTTTTAATAACTCATGACTGTAAATAATATTTTACTAGATATTCTTCAAGACACTTCTATACAGCTTAAAGTGACATTTAAAGGCTTCACTAGGGTAATTAGGTTAACTAGGCAGGTTAGGGTAATTAGGCTAGTTATTGTATAATGATGGTTTGTTCTGTAGACAGTCTGAAAAACAATTAGCTTAAGAGGCTAATAAATTTTACCTTAAAATGGTTTAAAAAATGTTTTTATTCTAGCCAAAATAAAACAAATAAGATTTTGTTCAGAGGAAAAAATATTATCAGACAAAATATCAACATTTCTTTGCTTTGTTAAACATCATTTAGGAAATATTTTAAAAACAAAAAACAAAAGGGGGCTAATAAATCTGTATATATATTTACGGTAATTTTTAAAATGTTTAAGGAAAACTATTCAGTTCATCAAGGCTATATTTATAAATGTAAAAAAGGTGTAATTGTTAAATATTTATTAAAATTTTAAATAACTGCTTTGTTATTGTATTTAGTTTCAAATAAAATAGTTACTCCAGACATTATTGATTTTATAACTTTTACCATTAATAAATATAATAATAATTAATATTAGTGATTTCTGAAGGATCATGTGACTGGAGTACTGAAGCTGAAATCTCATCTTTAAAATCACTGGAATAAATGAATAAATTAAATGATAAACTACTTTTGAACAGTTATTTTATAGTGCAACATTTCACAATTTGTATTTATGATGAAATAATTGCAGCCTTGGTGAGCAGAAGAAGCTTATTTTAACATATTTAATCACACTGACCCCAAACGTTTGTGCATTGTGTATAGAATATTTTATAAGTGAAAATGTGCACTTTAATTTAACAACCCACAGACATCGTCACCGAATACAAATCGAGGTCAGACTTTCTCATATATACAGAGCCTCATTTCAATTGTCAGGTTTTGTAGAAATCGATCAATTGAATTAATCAATCTATTAAAGAAACGTTGACTATAATTCTGTATTTTAGGCTTAAATTATAGAGAGACATAGCAGATGAACCGATACTGCATCAGATCAATGTAAATCTTTCTTTCGAGCTGTCAGTGCGGAAATGAACAAAACAACAGGCCTAATACAACATTTTATACGATTAAAATATGGAAAAATTAACAGATAGTAATTTCGGTCAATTTTCCTGACGGATAAACCGAGATCAGGCTGGATAAACAGCTCTCGGTAATATTTCAGCATGCTTTCACTTTCGCATTTACCGGTAAGAATGACATCTGGCCCAGCTCATAATTCTCTCTTCATATAGCCGTATATATGGCTATTACACGATCATGATACACTGTGATATAGCCTGGGTCGTTAGTTCGTTGCATTGTTTTGTTTTCTCGCTACAATCGATACGCTCAATAGGACAGAGACCGCGTCTCATTCAGGCGATCTTGGACTGATTGATTTGGTGCGGATGCGAGCGCAACTGCTGGATATATGCCAAAAAAAAACGCGCTAACGGGTGAAACGAGACAGATTCCGAAACAAACGTCTATGTGTGAAAGCACCGTAAGATTGTATTTGCACACAATTGACAGACAGTCGCAGCACGCAGCTCTGGCTCGATCTGGCAGGCAAAAAGGCAGCAGCTGGCCCGATCGAGCCAGTAACATTTTGTACACTGGCCCGACTGTCTCGCACGCTGGCATCGGGCAGTCCTTATTGTCGAGCCCTGGCTCATAATATCGAGTGGGAAAAAAAGAAAAAGACCGCTGGGAAGCATAACCTGCTTTGTTTTTTTTTTTTTTTTTTTTTTTTATAAGAAACACAGTTTAGATCTGTTTAGGATAAGAGGAGTGTGAGTTATTGCCACCTATCATTGAATGTGAATATCGAAAACAAAACCAACTTAGCTGTTAACTCCTTTACCGCCCCTCACACAGCTTGATCCACGCTGGCATTTCTCCTCTTGGGCTTTGGTTTTGAAAAGGGAAAAAATCCCACCACCCATTCCAAACTTTTAGGATAGCGGGTGTCAGATTTTCACAATCCAATTGCGCAACGATTTGGCTTGTTTCCCTCGCTCGAAAGCTTGACAGAGCCTCTGCCCGTAGCTACGATTGGTAAGCCGCGATTGGTGGGTGGCGGTTTTTGGGCGTGGCTTAGCGAAGGGTCAGTTTAACAGGATCCCGTGAGAGCAAAATCACTAAAGGTATGAGACGCCATCGTAAACAAAAGTCAAGCGAACGCAAAGAGACTGAATGCACGAGAGAGAGAGAGAGAGAGAGAGAGAGAGAGAGGTGTATGTTGTATGTGAGAGAGAGAGAGAGAGAGAGAGAGAGAGAGAGCGAGTATTGGCTCGATCTCAAGTTCAAATTCAAATTCTCTCTGCGTTCGCTTGACTTTTGTCCACTCCCGCGCCTCATAGTAGTCACGTTGGATACTGTCGAATCAAAACAATCTACCGTGCTTTGATTGGACGTCATGCCGAAAGCGCGCATGCTCACACACACGCGCGCGAGCATGCTGTCACACACACGCACACATAAACGGAGAGAGAGAGAGAGAGCGGTCTATGTCAACATACTTTTTTATCGTTGGGCTTTTCATGGGGAGCAGCAAGTCTTTACAAGTCAATAGGGGCAAGTCCTAGTCAAAGTCCGAGTCATTTATGTTCAAGTCCAAGTCGAGTTGCAAGTCTTTTTATATTTTGTCAAGTCGAGTCTAAAGTCATCAAATTCATGACTCGAGTCTGACTCGAGTCCAAGTCACATGACTCGAGTCCACACCTCTGGTAATAACAATAACTATTATTACTACTACTATTATTATTGTTATCATCATTATTATTAATTTAACAGTACTAGTATATTAATATCAATAACAATATTGATCATAATAACAACAATGAAATTCATTAATAATAATAATAATAATAATAATAATAATATTATTATTATTATTATTATTATTATTAATAATAATAATAATAATAATAATAATAATAATAATAATAATAATAATAATAATAATAATAATAATAATAATCCTCAATAGTAATCGGGGCAACTATTATTATTATTATTATTATTATTATTATTATTTATTATTATTATTATTATTATTATTAAAGTAACACTATTTTAAAATTAATAACAGTAATTTTGATCACAGTAACAGCTATGAAATCAAAAGTATTTTTTAAATCATATTACTACTAATTATAAAAATATTAATCTTAATAGTGAAATTTCTCAATCATATGTTTTAATTTAATTGAATAAATACATTGTACAATTTAAACATTTGAGTTTTGACTGTATTGTTACATATTTAAAACTCATTACATTTCACACACATACACTTATAAATCACATAAACAAGCTTGATTTCTTTTCTGTAATGCAACCTAATAGCAGCATCCCTCTTTATGGTGAATGTCATCGCACTAAATTTGAGCTCACATGAAAGCAGCACTGACCTCCGTTTGCATGGAGAGCCGCTCTAATCCCTCTCTCAACAGTTCACTCCTCTACTTGCAATGCCACACAATGGCGTGACTCACAGCGCTGGCATACATGCCTCTCCCCGGACACCTTGCTTTATTATGAAGGGGCCGGTTTGTTTTGGCAACTCCACTACAATCAGAAAGAGCACTGAAGCCTGTTTATTTGTTTATTCATTTGTATGTGTTTTGTCTCTCAGGAGGGCTACGGGGTGATTGTGCTGAACCCCAACGAGAACTCTCTGGAGGTGGAGAAGGTTTCAGATCCAGCCAAGAAAGCGTCCCCGGATGCCTCTGATGAGCCGGCTGAAAAGAGAGAGAGGAAGGAGGAGCGGGAGAACAAGAAAAAGAAGGACTTCTATGAGAAGTATCGCAACCCGCAGAAGGAAAGAGAGATGGAGCACATCCCCATACGAGTGAGTGGCTGAGGGAGGATGATGGGTATGAAGAGAGAAAAAGAGAGATGGATAGAGAAAGGAATATGGGGTGAAACAGAGGGTGAGAGGGGGTTTTAGGCAGCTGAGTGAGTGGCCCACACATGTGCAGTCAGGAGGATGTGGAGTGTTTGGATTCCATCCAGATTTTTTTTCATATCTCTTTTTTTTTTTTACCTCTTGCTTGATAAGCACAGTGTTTATTCAGGGATATATTTAAACTTTTGTTATTTTATATGTGTTTTTTATTTATTTATTAATTTATTTAAATTTTATTTTATTTACTTTATTTTGTTTTTATTAGTTATTTAGTTCATTTATTTATTTTATTTTGTTTTTTATTTTATATATATATTTTTTATTTATTAATTTTGTTTATTTAATGTGTTTATTTTATTATTATGTAGTTATTTATTTTCTTTTTATTTAGTTTTATTAGTCATTTAGTTCATTTATTTTTTTATTTTGTTATTTATTTTATTTTATTTAATTTTAACTATTTTTTTTTTTTTTTGTTATGTTATGTTCAGCAGTTATTTTAGCTTATTAACTGTTAGGAGGAGGAGCATTCTTAGATATCATCTGATTAGAGAATAATCCGGGTAGTGCAGAATAAGTCGAGGATATTTTTTACATTTTTCCAGGTGGAAATTTTGCAAATTTGAAATCAAAAGTGCATCTAATTTGACAAAAAGATGCACTGTGCAGGATGAGTGATAAAACATTTGCTTCATTTTTATTCATTCATTAATTAATTAATAAATACATACATACATACATAAACAAACAAAACAAAACAAACGGTTAATTGATTAACATTTAAAGGGCTAATGAAATAGAAGCAACATAAAGTTGTCATTTTTTCTTCCTCTATGTAATATTTATTGAGTAAAAAAGGTCTGGGACAAATCAATAAAGAGAACTTATAGAGAAGGTAATATATTTACGGTAACACTTTACAATCAGGTTGTAAGGTTGTTAAACAATGTAATCAATACATTTACAAACAATAAACAATGCATTAATTATAGTATTTGTTAATGTTAGTTACAGTGTCGTTAGTTAATAAAAATACAGTTGTTAATTGTTAACTCATGGTGCAATAACTAATGTTAACAAGCACGAGTTTGAATTTTAATAATGCATTTGTAAGTGTAAAACATTTATTAATAAATGCTGCACAAATATTGTTCATAATTCATTAACTAATAAAGTCTTGTTGTAAAGCGTTACTATATGGACATGTAAAATTACAACATAGGATAAAATGTGTGAATGTATTATTCATAATTAGACAACTAACCTTCATTTAGACACTAGTGTAAATATTAATTTCATGCTGACTTCAAGTACACTGCAGTACAACTAATAAAGGCAAATCTCTCATTCTAATTTCATAAGACCTTCAATGGTATGTCAAACTGTTACCATTAACTGATGATACAATACACTCTCTCAAGCACACTAATTTGTTTGAACACCACAAAAAAATAAAAAATAAATAAAAAGCAACAACAACAACAACAGCAACTCATTTCTAATGCAAAATTGGGAGGAAACCAGATGAAACAATGAAGCCTCAGTTGGAAATACATAAAAAAAGTCTCCTGAAAGTTAGCGCTTTGTTCTATCACCATTTGACGGCCACGTCACGTATCGTCACACTCCTTGTGCTGTCATTTACCGCCGTTGACTCAGTAGCGGTGTGTGAGCTGTCAACACACTTCTGAGACTACCTACACACACACTCACAGTTGAGGTATAATTATCTGCACTATTAGCATCAAGTCAGCTTTAAAACCATCATACCTCTCACGTTCCCTCCCTTTGTAAACAAATTCTCCTAATTACCCTCTTTTTATCGCCACAAACTAACTCTGACACCTATCATTCCCTTAATAAATTCTCATCGAGGGCAGAATCTTGTGGTGTTGCCCAGATGAAGTTGTTTTTTTTTAACACACACACACACACACACACACACACACACACACACACACACACACACACACACACACACACAGTCAGAAAGAGAAAAAAAAAATCTATGAAATAGCCATCAGTGAGTGTGAATCTGAGATTTCAACACCTCGTCCGTTTCTGAGGCGTTTCATCAGTGTTGGTGTGCTGAACAGAGGAAGTTGCTCTCCAGGCTGCTGTGTATGATGGGAAAAAAAAAATAAAAAGCCTCAGTGTCAATATCTGTAAGAGCCGACACTGCTGACATCTTTATGCACACATGCTGCACTGTGTGTTTATGAGTAAAATAGTTTGTAGAGTCACATCTCCCTAAAGACAGAGAAAGCAAGGCAAGAACACATGATAATCTCTTGATAAATATTTTCGCTGGACAGTCGGGATTCATATAAAGACTTAGCATCTGCTGAACTTTTGGCAGTTTGTTGGTCTGGTGGAATGGGATTGTTAGTACATTTCTGCTAGAAACCTTTCTGCATGTCTCAGCCGCATTATCAAATGATGGTTGTGTGTCTCAGGCTTTTAAAAAAAAAAAAAAATTACATTTTATTATTATTATTTTATTTATTTTTTTTTTAATTTATAACATTTTTTTCTTAATTTTGTTTTATTTTATTATATTTCGTTTTGTTTTATTTATTTATTATTATTATTATTATTTATTATTATTTATTATTATATATATATATTTTTTTTTTTTTATATATATATATATATATATATATATATATATATATATATATATATATATATATATATATATATATATATATATATATATATATATATATATATATATATTTTTTTTTTTTTTTACATTTTATAATAAACTTTTAACGATAAAAACAAACAATCCCCTTTATAACACTATGGTGGATGCTGAATTCATTGAATACATTTAATTTGCTCATCAAGTATCCTTACATGAAAAAAATAAGTAAATTTAAAAAATCTCATTCATGCATAACATTTAACTGAAACATTTTGTTTGCTTTTTTGCATCCCAACAATTAAACAAACAAACAAACAAAAGGTTACGTTAAAATAAAAAAAATAAAAAAATGAAGAGCTCTGTTGAAGGCATTGGCCTCAACCTTCCCATCATTCTCCCTCTCTTCTCAGATTGGATATAGAGCCAAATCAAGATTACCATGGGCCAACTTTGGCCCGCGGGCCCTTGTTTTTGTGCTTTTTTTGTGTTTTTTCTGTTCTTGAACATCTGATTGAACAAAAATCTCTGCAGTGGATTTCTCATCATTACTTTTCCTATGTTTTCCCAGTAAAGACATTCACACAATTTTACAGTAAATATGAACATCATCTACAGGGTGTCCGCGGGGTCTTAAAAGTTTTAAAATCTCAAAATCTAAATTTTAGGCCTTAAAGTCAGACATTTACTGAAATTTTGTCTTGAAGATCTTAAATATTTTTTAAACAGGCCTTATCCTTTGTTCATGTATTGCTACCCAATCAGGCCAACACCCATACAACAATCCATCTCAATAAAACCTTACAATTTTTAATTAAAAGGGTCATTTTTAACTCAATTTACCATAAAGGTTTTTTTAAAAGAATGTATTTACTGTTGAGGTCACCGACCTGGACAGATTGTTGTGCATAGATTTATTTTATTATAGTTTTTAAAACTTTTTAACATTTTTTCATGTTTTATTATTTTAAAGAAAGTTTATGTTGGAAAAAAAAATGTTGGTGGTTTTTACACAATATTTAAACTATTTTGTAAGAAACATTAAAAATATTATGTTTTATTATTAAATTATTATTGTATTATTAAATATATTCAATTATAGCTGTTTTTGATAGGGCAAATAAAAATCTTTTTCATCTTTTCCTTGGTGTTTAGCCCTTTATGAGTCTGAAATTCCATTCATAATGGTTTTAAAAATGTCTTAAAGTCTTACATTTTAACTGGTGACACCTGCAGAAACCTTGATCTAAAACATGAAGAGCATCTGTCGTAAATATTTCAGATTTTTAAAAAGCTAAATTTAAGTTTAAGTAATTGGTTGACATTTAAAATAATGAAATAAAAGCTTTATTTTATTTTATTTCATTTATTTGTATTTTACCTGTATGGAAAAAAATACAAAAAAATTCTGGCATGAGTCTAGTAAGATAAGATCAAATGAAATCTACCTAACATCTTATTGAAAAAAAAAAATCTGTACAGTACTGGATGGTCATTAATATGTATGTTTTCTATATTTTTTTTTTTTCCCCAGTAAAAAACAAAAACAAAAAAAAAAAAAAACAGTACATTTCACATATGAATAACTTGTGAATTTATGTGAACTTAGAATTTTTTTAGTCCATTTTTGTTGAATGGCTTTGTAGTTGTCTGCTTTTTGACATCTCTGTTGCATTACACTCAAGGACACGCTGCTGTCTGGGTGTCTCTGACTAGGGAGCATTGAAGTACTGCTGCCAAGTGGAAATGCGCGCACATTGGAAAAGCCGTTTTGTTTTTTGAATCACTGCAGGAAAATATTAAAGGAGCTCTATTGAGATGATTTCAGGCTTTAGTTTATGTGTGTTGTTGGCTGTTTAGTTTTTATATAACTAATATCCCGCAGCACATTTTCAGCACAGGCTGATTCAGCACTCTGATTTAATTTTCTTTGTATACTTTCAAATCCTTTATGTTTGTTAAGGGTTTATGTGTAGTGGTATTTAAGTGATTATAGTTGCAAAAAAAAGCATTTATACTTCGGAAAGACATTCAAAACAGTGAAAATACGTTCATAACATGTACAAACGTTACTATCTTTTGTTAAGACCTCACTGCTGTTAAAGTTGATGATAATTTGTATTATTTTATTTTGTTAAACTTATAAACCTCTTTGCTGCTTGTTCAAACTAATTATTCATAATGAGCTGAAACAACACATTTCTGGATTTCTTATGGGGGGACAACTTAATTGTTTCATGTTTAATCCACTTAAATTTGTTACCTTAATCAGTTTGTGTTTAGACAACATGAATGA